AACAAAATTTAGGCCGCGAAGCATCTGGAAGGGAAAAGCTGGTTCTTTCGCACTAAACACTTTACACAAAACTTTTTTATGTCTAGAAATGCCTGGTAACTTACTATCAAGTTTGCAAGTGTTGTTAGTAAAATATAGCTATATTTGAGCCAGAAAAACCAAATAAAAACTTTTAAAAATGTTGGAAAAATCGACATTTTGGCCAAGAACGGCGATTTTTCGTCGAAAATATATATTTTTTGTCTTGTTTTACTAAAATTTTTGCAAAGGTTTTACGTTTATGGCAAGTAAAAAACAGTTTAGAAGCGCTTCCAAAACAAATTAATTCCTAAGAAAAAACATTCTCTTCCCCCCCCCGAAAATGCGAAAGAAGCGAAGAAAGGCTTACTAGAGACAAAGAAAACCAAATAAAATTAATTAGTCTTCTTCTAATGGAGACCTTTAATCAATATCAAGGGATTAAAACCTTCAATACAACATCACATCCATAAAGAAGCCAACATTTTATTGCCCAATAAACTTTCAACAAATCAACAATTCGAAAAAAACTCAACAACGCATCCAAAGCAAACACAACAACAGCATCAAAATTTGACAACTTTCTTTGTGGCTTTATTGGCAGGCTTGGCGGGCTTCGACGGCTTGTCGGCTTCGCCCTCCTTCGCCACCTCGGCCACTTCAAAATCGAACGTGTCGTCGTCGGCCGAGCGGTGCACGTTCGGGTCGAAGGCCATTTTGGCTGAAAAATTCAGGGGGTTATAGATAAAAAATAAAAACGGCACCTGACTGTTAGCGCGGGGGGGGGGTGTAATCGGATTTAGACGATTTTTATGTTAATAGTCCTTGATTACTTAAACGCCCCAACACATTTTTAGAAAATTTCAAAAGTTTGAAAATTTTAACAACTGAAACGTTTTGTAAAAAACCAAAATATTTCAAAAATTTGACTTTTTAAAGACTATCTTTAAAAACGGGGCATAACACCCCCGCTAATAGCCTAGTACCTAAAACTTTACCTCGCAATTCCTCAGCCTCCACCGTAACTCCAGAAGAAGCCAATCGCTTCGGGCAGTCGCGAATCAGGTGTTGCTTCGACTCGCAAATGTTGCAGCAACCACCTGAAGAAAAAAAACAACATATAAAATCATAACTTTTAAAGTACCATCCGGGTAGATTCCCTTGTCGTTATCGTCGCAGTCCCTCGACAAATGGCCCTGTTGCTTGCAGATGAAGCAGGTGGCGTAGGGGAAACCTAAATAAAATTGTACAGTCGTTTTTTTTGGTTCGTTCGGAGCGGAGGGCGGAGCGAATTTTTTTGTAGAAGACTATAAATGTCTAGTAACTTCATAGGAAGTATTTTAGCCATGTTTTTACGATAATAAAACTATATTAAGACTATAAAAACTATCTAAAAACTTTCAAAAACTTCCAAAACTCGAAATTTTGGTCAAAACGGCGATTTTCGGTCGCAATAAATATATTTTCGCATTGCTTAATACAAATTTGTAAAGTTTTTATGTTTAGAAATATTGAACAACAGTTTAGAAAAAAACACTTCAGCTATTTATATTTAAAAAAGTGAATAAAGAAAAGGAAAAAAGAGGTGCCCCCCCCCGGTAAGGCGAAAGAACCTATTTTTTTCAAAACCAACCTTTCACTTTATCCTTCCTTGGGCACTTGTAAATGTTGTGCTCCGTCGAGCCGCACTTGAAGCAAATGTCTACGCCCTCCTAAAAACAAATTCTTCTTTCTTGAAACGATCCCACCTCGGTGGTCATCTTTGGGCACTCGCTGATTTTGTGGCCCGGCTCGCGACATTTCAGGCAGACACGCTTCCTAAATAAATTTGATAATGATTCTAAAATAGCTCCAACTCACACTTGTTTCTTCACTTGACGCCCAATCCTGCGCGTCTCTCTCGCCTTCCATTTTGCCACGATGTTGCCCGCCGTAATCCGGTGGATGAGCCCTGAAAGGTATATTTTTATTGGGTTCCTTGGCATTATCGGGCGTGGTTTTTAAATAAATAAGAACTAAAATAAAAAACTAAACTACTAAAATAAAAGCAACTAAAAAACTACCTAAAAACTCGGAAAACTTTTCAAAAAGTCGAAATTTTGAGAAAAAACGGCGATTTTGGTCGAAAGTCGATTTTTTTTTTGTATTTTTAAATTCCTTTATCAATTAAGTTTTTTTCGATTAAAGAGAAAACAGAAAAAAAAGATATTTCTGAAGCCCAGAATTCACCTTTCTTCGACATATCCGTGACGAGCGCCTTCAGCTCGTCCAGGCTGCCCTCGAACGCGAACAGCTCCTTCATATCCGGTCTCGGGTTTAACTAGAAACACAGTTTCTAACTTCTTAAACTTTAAATTATACGTATCCTAGCTGTTCAAATCTAATTTTTATTAAAAAACAAAATTCACCTTCCGCTCCTTTGCCTGACGCCACTTCCGGATCACATGCCCGATGTCCTTGTAGCCGAGCCGTCCGCCGGCCACTTCTTGACCGAGAAAATCGGCGGCCTAAAATTTTATAATTCTACTTTTCTAGCCAATTACGCACCTCTTGCTCATTCTCCACCCCGCTCAACGCCTTCAGCACCACCGAGTAGTCAAACTTGGGGCGCTCCTCTTTTGGCGTGGCCGTTGACGGTTCGTCTGTAAGTTTTTATCGTAAAAAAGAAAATGATGGACCAAAATTCTTCGTACGTTTCGAAATGACTAGTAAGTTAATAGGAAGCATTTTAATAGCGTTTTTTGTAAAATGAAACTGTATTTGAAGTAGTAAAACTATCCAAAAACTTCAAAAACGCAAAATTTCTATCGAAAACCCCCAACATTTTTGTAGTTTTTAACAAATTTGCAAAGCCTATACGTTTAGGAAGAGCAAGAAAAATCTTAGAAACATTTCCGTTGTTTATTTTTCAAAAATTGGATCCTAAAAAAATTTGATTAGTAGGCTAAAAAGTTCTTAAATAGATCAAAAAGAATCAAAAAAAATTACCGGCCGCCGGAAGTCCTTCTTCCGCCTTCTTGGTAGCTGCGATATTTTCCTTCTTTTTCTAAACCGGAAATTGGCATCTCAAAAACGAAATACTTTCTTGGGTTTCTCCTCAACCTCAACGTCAGTAACTTCTGAAACGTTTTCCTTCAGCGTTCTTTTTCTCGTTATCTAAAAAGACGGTGGAATTTTCAAAATAAACAATTCGAAGGTTTTCATTAGTGCCGCAAATCAAAACCTTATTAGCAGCGTCGCTATCAACTTTGGCAGATGGGTTGCTAGGCGTTTCCCGCTCCTTTTTCTTGTTCTTCTTGTTCGGTTTGTTCTCCGCCTAAATTCTGGATTTTTTGCTATTTTCAAGAACCCAACCTTTTCAGTTGGACCCGATTTCTTCACTGGTTTCCCGAGATCAGCTTCTTGTTGATGATCATGTTCTGGTTCCGAGGGGCCGGGTAGAGCACCGGATCCCAGTTTTTGCTTGATCTAAAAATATAATTTGTACGTTTTTTGGTCCTTTCGCATGTTTCGGCTTTCTAAACTGTTTTTACTTTACAAATTTTCATTAAAAAATACAAAAAGATGGTTTTTCGACAAAAAATGTCCGCTTTTGACCAAAGTTTTTGGATAGTTTTTAACACTATTAAAATGCTTGCTATTAAGTTATTAGGCGTTTCTAGACTTATACAAAAAAGTTCGTCGCGCTGCCGATAATGCGAAACAAAACCGTTTTTTAATAAACCCCACCTTATTCAAACGTCGTCTTCTGTTCCGGCCCAGCGCTTTTTCACTGTTTTCCGGCACGTCCGGTGCGGCAGCGGGCTGCTCAGCCGGTTTCTTAGCCTTCTAAATGAGTGTTCAAACTTGTTTTCGATATAATACCTTTCTTGGCTGCACTTTCTTCGCCTCTGGGTGCTCTTCTTCGATCGATTCAACATCTTTGGCCTTGGTCTTCTTCTAAATAAGTTTTTCAAACGAATTCCGACGCTTATCACCTTTTTCTTCGGCACAACTTCTACTGGATCGTCGGCCTCAAAGTCTGGCTCGAGCCCGTAATCTTCCACTGCCAACGTCATTCGAATTCCACTTTCTATAGAAACTTATCAAACCGGAAGTGTGAAAAGCTCTTTCAAAGCTTTACGAAGGTTTTTGTCTACTTGCGACTACAAAGGGCTTCTATCGACGGCATTTCCCCGTGCGCGTGCAGCAAATCGGGGTCTCGTGGCGCAATGCTTGCGCGCCCAGAGCCGCGACCCGAAGATTTTGCCAAAAAATTGCTGCGTGCCATTACGAAACGACAAACCACAGCTCGCTAAAAATGCGGTTGTTTTCGCGGCAAACGCTAATTGAACCCCTAGGTGTCACTATCGTCATTTATAACCCACTATTTCCCCGTTTTTGATCCATCTTAACGATGCCCGCACCCGATTTACCCATCTAATTACAAATTCTCGGCTCGAATTGCCGTTATTTTGGCCTTTATGAATCGAAAAGCCTTCGGATATTGAGTGTATCTGAATTCCCACTTTAGAATGGAGCGTTTTGCTAGTTTGATAGGTTTTACCGATCCTAGGGCCGGGTTTGTCTTGCTCGTTACAAATTGTGCATCCGGTTTGTTTGTGCTTTAACTTCTCTCCATTAAACAACGTCAACGTGTTAATTTTAGCTAGTCAGCGTCGTTTTCTCGATATCCCAATTGTCCCTCAATGTTGCATCATGCCGTATTTAGGCCGAATTACAAATTCTTTTACTTTGCTGAAGGGATATCGACAATTTCGCCTCTCTCCCCCTGCATCTATAAACGTCTATAAACGCCCCTCTCTTTTAGCTATGGACCTGCCCTTTCTGTCTAACCCTTTTTTACGCTAAATGTTGCATCATCCCGAATTTAGTCGGAATCGACAGTTTTTGCCTTTTCCGATGAACGTTCTAAATGCCTCGATTCTCCATTCTCCCTCGCGTTTCAGTGACGACTTTGTTAATACTCTTTCCTTTCCAGGATGGATGACTCACTGGATGATGATGCTCATTCAGTGGAATTAAACCAAGTAACCTGCGAAACACCAGTGGCACGGCCCAAGCCGTAAGTTTTCCTGGCTGGCTTTTTTCTCGGCAAAACTAGGCTTACGCTCTTATTTTTCTATTTTTTAGACGCCAAAGTCGTGTTTCGAAGGTCAGCATGGAAAGATGCAGCCCAGCCGCCGCGGCTGATTCGGCTCGTTCTTCCCGGGCTTCCCGGAGCGATTCAAAACCGCCACTGGACAGCGACGGCTCTGCTCCACAAAGATCCAGTAAATTATTCTTTGTGTGCTTTTTTATTGTTTTTTTTTTAGGACGGGAGCTCAAACGTAAGAGGGGCTATTCCCCCGATCCGACATCCACTTATGGTCGACGATCGCTGGCTTCCATGCTGTAGGCTCTTGCCGGGCGTTTTTTTCAAAATATTTTTTTAGAAATTCGCGTCCGCCCAGCCCGACCTTACCGTCAAGCAGCAAGGACGCGGATCCTGAAGTGGTAGCCCTTTAACCTTGGCTCACGGTTTCTGTTCAGCAAGACCTTCGGTCATTATTGGGCAATATGGACCGTCACATTGTGCACTACGAAGTGCCATCAAGCTTTCACGAAATTTTGCCTGTGACGGACAATTTGTAGATTCTTACAAAAGGTTTTTTAGACTCGTCTGCACAACCTGACCACGGCCGAGAAGTACTGGCGGAAGTCGGACGATTCGCAAAAGAAACCCAGGGCCAAGCGTTCACGCAAACCGGCGGTGCACAATCGTAAGCTATTCAAACTATTCCCTTAATTTTGTCTTTAGCCCCAACACTGGTCAAAGTCAAAACCGAGTCGCTGGCAGTGGAACCAGAGATTGCCGTGCCGAGCGTCGAAGAAGAAAAGCCGAAGATTGTCGCGCCTGTCAAGGCTGAGGAAGATCCAGAAGATGCTTTTTGTGCGGCGCCTCCCTCTACTGCCAAGAAGCCGTCGGCAAAGAAGCGCGTCGCTGCTCATGGGTTGATAAAGGTAACTAACCGATAGAAGCTGCCCTAACCTTTGCTTTTAGCTGCGACGACCAGATGCTAACGGCTTTGCTAACTCGCCCAAAGAGCCGAAAGAAGCTTTGAAAGTATGGGCAGATTTGAGTTCGAATTTGTTCGTTTTAGAACCCGATCAACGGCACTCGGCGATCAAAGGCAAAGACTGAGGCAGTGGTGGATCAAGTGCTAGCCAAGGACGAAGACGATGTGCTCAGCCAGAATAACGCTGTGGTCTCCAACCAACCGGCGGAGGCTGTTGACCTCAAATCGGCTGAACTCCAGGACGATGCGAATCCATTGAGCGAGGTATATATTTTTGCGCTGCTTTTTCTTAGAAGTCCAGATATGTCTAGATGTAATAACTTTTTTAGTCTTTTGAGACTATGTTAATAGCGGTTTTATCGAAAATTCTCAGTTGGAAGTTTAGAACATTGAATTTGACCGGAGATCAATTTCAGGCGGGCGTTCGGAAACCGAACCCCCCTCTCTATTATCGCGATTTTTCTTGCATATTGTTTTGAATTTAGGTCATTTGTCTAGTTTTCACGGCGTGAAAATTTGTAGGATAGAAAAACCCCTCCTGATTGTAGCTTTTTCAGTCAAACGAGGGCACCGAGAATCGCCGCCGTCTCTCACTCGAAATTCCGACGCAGTCCGGCAACAAAAGGGTGAGCCTTCACCTTTTCTGACTTTTTATTTGAATTTTGTGTTGTTCTGCTTTTTTTTTGTGGTATGCTATTTGCTTCGAAAGCACTTTTTAATATTTTTTACTTTTTTATTTACTTTTTAATAAATGTTGTTACGTCTGACCCTTGTGTAGCTTGTCTTGTCGCGGCAGCCCGCAAAGTAAGATTTCCGCGTTTTCGCAAAGTTGGAGTAAGGAAAAAAAAGGATTATACTTTGCTGGGTGCCATGTCTAGGATTCACGGCCGGGTTGTTAGACGTGGATCGCCTTTCGTTCATAGTAACGTTACGTTCATTATAGAAAGCCCGTCGTCGAGCCTCGCTGGACACCGACAAAGACGTGTTGAAAGACGTCCCACCTACCATGGGCCCTACACCCGTGGAAGCCACCACCGCAGTTCCAGCTAGAATATGTTCGTTTTTCTTGAAATTTGAAAAATATATTGTTTTAGCAAGACAAGTGCGCACCCTCCGAAATTCGTCTGTGGCCAGCACGAGCAAAGAGTCGACTCCGGTTGAACCACAACAACCACAAGAACAGAAAGAGACAATTTCCGAGCCGAACGCCAGAAGGAGAAAGGTTAGCATTTGAAAAAGGTTTTTGCGATGCCATGAAAATTTTTATCAACACTTCGTTTTAGAGCACTGTTCGCCAAGAAAGCTTCGCGCAAGATTTGCTCAAGAACGTCGAGAAGAAGAAGGCGAGGAGAAAATCGACGAAGTCCGCTGCTGAAGGCATTGGAGCTGTCACATCGCCACCCGTCGATGAGACGTTGGACGAGAAGTCGCCGAAGGAGGAACTTGATAATGTGAGCAACATTTATGTCTTGCTACTGTTCCCACTTATGAATTCTAAACTTTCTCATTCAATTTTTTAGGCCATCAATGAGGATGTGTTGAGCGTTGCTGGGGTCGAGCAAGCAAGTGTCGAGCCGGAGGGGCGAGATCTCCCGAAAAAGGAGCCGAAACAGGAGGAAACGCCGATTATTGGTATACTAATTTTTCGAAACAATCATTTACGACTTTCCAGCCCCTGAGAAGGTGGAAGAACCGGAGGTCGAGCAGCAAGCCGACGAAAAGCCTGTCCAAGAATCCACACCAATACAACGCAAAAGTCGCAAGAGTGCTGGGGGCGGCGCTTCGGTCAAACGCGAGCCTGTTGAAGCTCAACCCTCCCGTTCGCGACGTCAAGTACAGCCGCCTACGCGCTTCGAAGATTTCGAGGTGTGCGATAAGCGATTGGTAAAGAAGGGCCCTCTGCGGGGAAACAAGGATGCGGCGACCCCGAGCACATCAAAAGGTGATTATTGTTTTTACTTGTTTTAGCCTTATTTTTACTACTTTTTGATTCTCTACGTTAATTTCGCATACTTTTCGTCCAGCCTATCGTGGTTTTCCTTTCTTTGTTCACGAATCCAGTAACAAGTAATGAAAGCGTCTAGACCGTTATTTACTTTTTCGCATGTGCCATTTATGAGCGTTTATTAGAGTTTTATGAGCAACAAGCAAAAGAGGAAAGTAGGCTAAATAAGATATAAACATGCTACTGACTCTCATTGATAATTTAGAAGAGTTGCCGGTCACCCGTCAACGTCGCCCCGTGAGATCGCTATCACCGACACCAGCTGACAATGCGGTAATTTTTTTATAAAGTTCATCGTCAATATTTTGTTTAGACCTCGACGCGACGCAAAAAACCCAACCCGAAGCGCATCGACGTGTCGAGCCAGCCATCAACATCCGAAGCGGCAGACAAGAACGATGCTGAACAAAAACCAGACGTCGAGGCTTCAACGACCTTGTCGGCAAGCGAATTCCCAAATGAGTCTGGTAAGAGGCTTATTTCGGAAATTTGTTCATATCAGCTTGAGATTTCATACAATTGGCGTTTTAGCGGAATTCGACCCTGCTGCCCCGGTGCCTCCTCCACTTCAGCCTGGAGATGACGAACAAATGGACTCCATCGTGGATGATGTTGTGCAACGAAGTATGGCTTCTGCTTCTGTCATGAAATCCTTTTTAGCGCTCGTCCAACGACAAGAGGGCATAGGCTTGACTAGGAAAACATCGGTTCAGAAGAAGCCGTCAGCTCCAAGACTGAGGTAACTTTTTTCGTTGCTGCAACAGAAGTCTCACTTTTCTTTAGCTTCCGTCTTCGCAGCAAAGGTGAGGCCGACCAGGATGAGCCGTCCACCCCACAACCCGCGCCGGCCCAGAAATCGTTCAGCGACGACGTCGTGGTGCGCCGGATGTCGCCGGTGAAGAAGTGAGGAAGCTAATATTGACTTTTTAAACTTATTTTAGGGACCTCGCCCCACGAACTCATCTGCCCAAGTATGTGCCATCGTTCAAGCCACGCCTCGGCTCGCTGATGCTGGCAGACGGCAAGCAGGAAAATCTCGGACAGGCCATAAACTACGTGCTCGACCGCATGATGTTGGAAGTGTGCAAGGATGGTGTTACGTAAGTTTTGAAGCATTATATTCTTTATATTTGTGTTGATTTTGGTGCTTCCATCTTAGCGGGATAGCAAGCAGGTTTTTTTTAAAGAAAATCTGAAAATTTTGATGGGTTTTCAGAAAAAGGTGTAGGAAACGAAAGAGACCCAGACAGTGTTTGTTTTGTAACTGTAAATGAGTGACTGAACTTTAGTTTATCCATTGTATTTTCGTTTTTCAGACACCACAACACGTGGCTGATGTCCAACACCCAGATATACAGGCGAAATCGCGAGAAGGCTCGTCAACACCAGCAAGAGCGGGAGCGCTTGGCGTAAGTCCCTTTATACAATTCGTCTATCTTTCTTTTCAAGTGAATTGGGCCTGCTTCCGCCGAAACCTATCAAGCCGGCTGCGACGCACACCTCCGAGCTGGTGGCGAACAGGCCGCGGCGAGCTGGACGAGGCCGACATGGCGATGATGATGTCCTGTTTGACATGCCATCACCGAGCGTCGACCAAAGGCCATTCGCGCCTGGCGACAAAGCAAAGCCGGGAAGAGTGGGTCGCCCGCGCAAGCTGTCCCTCGACGTCAACAGCATCTCGGATCCCGGCCAGCACACCGAGGCGATGCCCCCAACACCATCGATGGCACGGGACCCCAAGCAGGTATGCTTTTTCATCACCCTGCCGAAATCTTGTTTTTCTTTTGCACGACTTTAAAGCTCACGGAACTGCGAAAAAAATGGCTGTTTTTGTTGCCTCAAATTGGTGCTCATTCGCATGCGTATGCGTGAAAACAAACCTATTTTGGAGTCCAAAATCAGGAATATATCGTTACGTTTTTCGATCGTAAAAGTCCGAACTAATCTATTAGATCTGGAAAGCGAAGAAGGGTCGTTTTATCTTTTTTTTCGCGAGCTTTCAAAATGGCGAAAATTGGGCGCCCTAGCGGCGTCTTACAGTTTTTTGGGGGCACCAGTCTAGTGTGGAATATCCGGTTTTCCAATCTTTGATTAACTCAATTCATTCAGATGACGTTCGCCGAGTTTCTGGTGCGCAATCGGCTCAGCTACACGAAAATCGTGGGGCCGATGAATGACTTTACGCCCGACCCGTTCTACCGCGAGATCTTGCCTGAAGTGTGGGTTTTATCGTGAGTCACGATTTTCACGCTTCGGGAAGTCACGATTCGTGACACTTTGATTAGAGTGTTGGATTCAAACTTCATCATTCTAATTTAGTGACCACTGCCCGGATCCGAACGAGAACGCTGTGATTGATGTGATGGGCGTGGAAATGGACTCTCGACTGTTCCCTCCGCTTCCAACAAAACGCCTCCAACATCTCGAGGAGGCCAGAGCGGTGCGTTTTCCTCAGACTTTTTTTAAAAATTCCGTTTTAGGGAGCTGCCGAAATATGTCGACTACTGCCGCGACCGACGCCCATGCCCGCGCAACGCAACGGCGAGGTGCCGTCTCAGCAAGAGTGGGGGATTTCGGACGCGCTGGAGCTGGTCGATAGGTGAGTAGTTTTAGCACGGTGTTTTTTTCTATACTTCGTATTTCGCTGATGGAAAGTGATTTTTCAACAACTTGTGCTTTGAAAGTGCGACTATGCAACGTTTTGTTCCCTACCGTGGATAGGATTGCCGAAATTCTAATTTTTGGAAATTTTTTAACCGTTTTATAACTGACGAAAATGCGATTTTTCGAAAAAGTATGCAGCTTTATTTTGCTCTTTTAGACTGGAGCTTGACTCGGTTGACCATCTGCAATACGACGAAGACGATCGGGCCACATATGCCACGATGTAAGAGCTTTTCGGAATTGCCTTATTTACCTGAACCTGTTTTAGCAAAGTGTTCGCCGATATGGTGCAGCTGATCCAGGATCAAAGCATGGTCGATTACTCCTGCGAGCTGGATCTGGAGCGGGTATTCAATTGAGCGTTTTTTTTGTTATTCCTTTCTTTCAGAATGGCGCCAGCATACACTTTGTCCTTTCCAAGAAGCAGGGAGATGCCCTCCGCGACGTGATGCTCATATTCAATCGGGTACCGAATTCTTGAACTATTTTTATGACTTTTTTAGGCCTACAAGGAACAGGGACTCAAGGTGCACCGCTACCTGATGGCTTTGCTGCCCGCCGATCTGCTCGCCAGCTACATACTCATCCTGCGCCACAGCTCGGCACTGGTCAGTGATTTCGGACTTCATACTTGTATTTAAAAAAAAAATAGTTTTTAATGGTTTTGATATACGTACATATTAAAAAATTTTTTTTGAGAATGAATTTTTCGTTGGTGTTAATCAACTCTTAATTCCAGAATAACTACGACGTCAACGTGTTGAACGACTCGCTGAAGGACGTGCCGCTGCAGTTGATCGCTGCGCTGACCGACGAGCATCCGGCGGCCCTGTTGGCCCGGAATCCCCACGTCGGCGCCGATTGGGAAAAGGTGGCGCAAATTATGACGATGAAGACGAACTGCGCGCTGATCGATCCAAATCTCACCGAGCTGCACAAGACAACAATGGTGTGTTTTCAAGATTTCGTGCTTTGCTGATTGGGTTTAATCTCATTTCACGAACTTTTTTTTAGCGGAAAGAGCTCGACGACGTCGTGTTCGTCCTCGTCTCGCCGTCGGTGCACCATGAGAAGTGGTTCGACGAGCAGATCCTCTGCCACAAATATGTCTACAAGTATGGGTTTTCTAGGTTTTCCAACATGATATCTTCTTCTTCAGGATGCTGGGCAAGATCTCGCACTCATCGGTGCGTGTGACGCTCGACCTGACGACGCTGATGAAGCGCGCCAACGTGCTCGAGGCAAATCTGAAGGCGGTGGACCTGATCAAGTCGGCGGTTCGTTTTTACGTGCTTTAGTTTCTATGGAATTTTTTAATTTGACGCGTCAGCGAAATACCACGTTTCTCATTGTTCATCTCCAGGTGACCACTGCACTCAAGTCGAACAAAGACAAGCGCGTCGTGTTGGTCGGATGGGGCACCAGTACCTACATGAACCATATGGTAATTAAAATTATACTTTGAAAACCCCAATTTAGGTCGTCCAGACGACTCCCGGCATCTCGGCGCTCATCAATTTCGCTTTCCCTGCCATCACATCTCTGGGGGCGCGAGGGGTTGGTTTTCAATATATTTTTTATTCATCTTTTCTAGAGCGCCGACGACGACATTTGCCTGACGTACTGCCCGACGCTGTTCATCTGCGGCGACCAGGCCTCCGACTTCAACGACGTGGTGATGAACCGGCTGCGGCGTAATATGACTTGTATGTTTTGCTCTGGTATCGAGGTATATGTCAATTTTTAGCGCCCACCGGTCTCGTCATCGTCCACGGCGGCAACACCCAGCTGAATGTCTACGCAAATTTGCTGGCCCACGAGCGCGTCACGCAGAAGATCATCGAGCGGGCATACTTGGTGAGCTTTTATCGTTTTGTGGTTTTTTTGCTTATTTGGGAGTATTCATGATTTTTACAATTCCCATCTGATTTCAGGAGCACATTGTCAACTTCCTGTCCAAGGACTACACATACCAACCGCGCGCCGATCTTCAGCCGCTGCTCCTCAACAAGGCCCTGCACGTCTCCAACCAGCTAATCAAGGTGATGATTGAAAGTAGACTATTTAGTTTAGACTTTCTGATAATAAATATATTTTTTAGCCGGCTCCCCGCAGCTGTGCCGCCCGCCAACGTGCTACCGTGTCGACGTCAATTGACGAGGTCGCGTCTGGCTTGACCCCGCGCGACATTGCTCCGGACAGCCCAACGTAAGAAGATCGTTTGAAGGTTAATATTCTTTTCTAGGCATTCGCTGCCCGCGCCTGTGGGCAGAGATTTCGTGCAGCCGCCGCAACAACACTACGCCCCGGCGCCCATCCAGCAATTCGGCCAACAACAACAGCAACACCACCACACCGGCGAGCCGAACAACAAGAAGAGAAAGTCTGTTTTATTTGATTCAAAAATTTTAAGTACTATAAAATCATAACTTCTAAGCTAGGGTTACGCTATTGTGCGGTCAAATTTTCGAGCGGTCCAGGCAACACATTCGCCTTTTCTTTCCGCTTCCTAACATTTCTATTTTTTCAGGATGCAGCCCTACCCAGTGGATCTCAATTCGACGCCACCTCTTCCGATGACCTCGAACGCGCAGCCCACGATGCCACCGATGCTATCCACCCCCGGCAGCCAAACGCCAAAGCTCGCCGCCCCGGGCCCGGCCTTCAACAACTTGGCGGCCCCTCCGACGGCCTCTTTCGCTTCACACCCGCCCTCATCGCAGCTGATCCCGCTGGGGAGGCCCAGGCCCGAGCCGGGTGCCACCGCGGCAACCGCGCGCCTACGTCTCAGCGCCATCCTCAACCAAAATGGATCGCCTTACCAACAGCGTGGTACGCTTTCTAATCAGCTCTCTACTAACTATTTTTTAGCGGCTATGCTCAACGGCACTGCCTCGCTCGCCCAACCGCAACGCCGCAACACGGTGGCCACCATGGATGGTAGCGTACAATTTTATAGCAAGTATTTTAATGGTCTTTTTAGCAAAAATCTATAGGCATCTAGACGTTCTGAAAAAGTCCAATTTTGGTTCAGAAAGCTATGTTTTTGACATTGTTGTAATACAATTTTGTAAAGTTTACATGTATGGAAACACTTTCACTTTTTATATTTGAGAAAACTAGATCCTAGCAAAGCTGGTATAAAAAAAAGTTGGTCCCGCGGTTATGCGGAAGCACGGAAAGATCTGATGGGAATACTACAGCGCACCTTACTTATTAATTTCTTTAGATTCTCGTCCACTGGAGACCGGTCCCATCAACCCGGCCGACATTTCGTTGGATCTGTAGCAGCGACACCAACAAGATGCCGATCACGCCATCTAGTCACCAGTCAATAGATATCTATGTTTATTGATTGTTGGGTGCTGTTCTGTTTGCCGGGGGGGGGATCGGGGTGAGCGCAGATATACCCCCGGAAAATAGAACAGAACCGATCATTTCATCATCTATTACCCGGTGTATGTACACATTTTGACCCTCTCCCCAAGATGATCTCTGCTCAGCTTTCACATGACCCCCTTCTCATCCGCCTCAGCCCCGTCGCATTACGTGTCTGTTAGAATTATATAATGTTGACCACCGAACACTCACAACGCCGTGGGCACCCGCCGCCTACCGGCAACCACCACCCCCGGTGCTCGCATTTCGTCCGCGATCTCACAAGCTCAATTCCCCGCCCCCCGAATTATCATCATCATCATTCACCTCCCTCCATTGCCCTCCCCTATTCAGGTTATTTTTTTAGGACAGCACCAAATAGTTGTTTCGCTTCCCGTTGTTGATCCTGTAACCGACCGTTTTTTGGCGCACGCACATTTAACGCATCTCTCCCTGGCCCTCACTTGGGTTTTTTCGATAAGAATTGCGCCCGACGGGAACAATAAATTGCTTCTTAGTTTTAGGAAAATTGATATTGAGTGAGCTGCTATGTGACGGCTTTTATTTTTTATGTTTCCCGCCATTCTTTGTTTTACTGTCTTTATCCCCGTTCAGGAAACTTCCATCAGTCGCCATGCCGAAAATCATGAGGTCCGGAAAGGTGGTGCTGGTGCTGCGTGGCAAGTACGCCGGCAGGAAGGCCGTCATCGTCAAGCCCTACGACGAGGGGTCCGCCGAGAGGACGTACCCGCATGCTCTGATCGCCGGAATCAACAAGTACCCGCGCAAGGTGAGGGCTACATCCAAGAAGCGCTTCGCTTCAATTTTCATTAATCCGCTAGCCATCGAACCTTTGGCTTTGCTTTCGACCTTTTGCCGACTTTTTCCTAGCGAATTACTAAATCTGAATTTCGTGCACCAAACGCCAAAAACGTGGTTTCCGGCGTAGCCTGTTTTGGTTCATCTTTTGGATCTGCTCCAACAGTGCGTTTCACGGTTATATGATGGTTTATTGTTTTCAGGTAACGACACGCATGGGCAAGAAGCAGCAAGAGAGCCGGAACAAGGTGAAGCCCTTCGTCAAGGTCGTCTCCTACACCCATCTGCTGCCCACCCGCTATATGCTTGATGTGCCCCTCGAGAAGTCGGCCGTCAACAAGGAGTCGCTCAAGGTTCGCTTTTCTACTTTCTACTTTGCGGTCTCAGTTGTCAAAATTGCCAATTTGCCGAATACGAAAAGAAAACAAAATTTGGGGGGGAGCCTTCTGGTAGTCTGTGTTCAGAAACGTTTTTTTTTTCAGGAGCCCGGCAAGAAGACCCGCGCCTGCATCGAGGCCAAGGCTCGTTTCGAGGAGCGGTACAAGTCCGGCAAGAACAAGTGGTTCTTCACCAAGCTGCGCTTCTGATTTGGCACCCTCCTGCACATATCGTTTTGCTCGTTGCTGCAAGTTGTTACCCCAAATAAATTGTTGCTAATTTAACAAGTGTTTATTCATAATAAAAGCACAAAGAGGGGACTGTTGGGGTTCATCCTGGCAGCTTTTCGGAGAGGTGCGGTGGTTGGCTTGGTGGTGGCTGAAAGCAATAGTCTTTGACGATTGCTGATGACATACCGATGCCCTGCTTGAGCTGCCAGTTTTCGTGTTCGAGTCGTCGTCCAGCCCGTCGCAGTAGTCCTTGTTATAGCGATCTGGCCCTGTAGAAGGTTTGTAGTGGGCTTTTCGATTCGATGGCTTACAGTTAAGAGCGCTTTTCGAGCCGATTTATCATAACGATTAGTTAAAAACATAGTTTCAAAACCTTTAAAGTTTTGAAGCCGTTTTTAGAAGCGCCAGCTTTCCCACCTGGGTCTTCTCCATTGATAGCACGAAACTGGCGTATCGAGAGCCGCCCGTCGCGACGCACCACGAGTACGGCGCCGATGTTGCGTCCGGAGCCGGCGTATCGCGGCGCCGAGAAGAGCGTGAGCAGCTTTCGCCCGCAAAAGAACCGGAACCCGTTCTGCACGCACTGTTTTCGTGTTGTTGTTTTGCTGGCTAGGCGAGGAGCCCGGCGCGCCTACCTGGTGCCCGCGCACGATCAGGTCGAGCTTCATGCGGGCGCAGAACTTGCGCACCTCATTCTCGCCGAACAGCCAGCCGGCGTTGCGTTTGTGGTTTTTGCTGAATCTGAAAACGGGTTGTAGGTACCTGTTCTTCGAATAGGATTTTTTTAGTTTTAGACAGCCTAATGCCTTAATAGAAAACATTTTTATAGTGTTTTTAGTAAAATAAAACTATATTTACTAGAAAAACTATATAAAATTAAAAAAATTTTGGAAAAAGTCGATGTTTGGTCGAAAACCGAATGAATAAAAATTGAATAAAAATTTCTAACGTTTTCCCGTTTAGGAGTAGTAAAGAATACTTTCAAGACACTTTCGCTCGGTGAAAAAGCTGAAGCCTGAAGCGCATACCCTCTTCCGGGCGCCGGGTCGCTCCACAGCAGATCCCGGACGAGCATCACATCGAACACGCTGCGCACCGGTTTTTTAAGGCGCCGGATGTCGTCCAGCGACTTCATGCCCTTGCCTAAATGAAAGGTAATTTGCTTTAATGTCAATCCAATTTAGTCTGTGAGGATTTGCTCGTTTTGAAAAGCTGACTGAGGCCGCCGTGCATACAGAGGATGCGCCTGCCGACCCGGGCGGCCACCGGCAGCATAGCGAATACGTTGTTGAACTGGTGCCACAGCGAGTTGCCGTCCTAAATTGGATCCTTAGAAATTAGAAGCTAAAACGAAAGCGAAACAAGGCTTGTTTTCTCGTTTTTCTTCGAGCTTTTCGGCGTTAGCTCATCGATGTAAAATGAGAGCGTGTTTGCATTTTTTATTGCGTATAAAACTACAAGGAAGAGGGGTAAAAAATTGCTAGATCGTCGTTAGAAATCGAGAAGATGTGTTTGCTTGACTTTTTAACTTTACTTCAGTATAGAAACTTAAAAAAATTGGATTAGGAAGCGAAATTTTAGCCGAAAATTGTGTGTTTCTTAACTAAAAATCCCCAAATTTAGCTTTTCTGATCTTTCTAACCCTTAAAAGGTTTTCTATTTGACAGCTAGTGAAGGTTGGCCAAAAACCTCGCGGAAAAGTTTTGAAAACGTCGACAATTCCGTCAAAAATTGGCAATTTTTCGTCGAAAATGATGCTTTAATGAAAATCTGTAAACTTTCACGCCTAGAATTAAGAAAAAAAAAACGTTTAGAAAAACCTCTTCTATTTATCTTGCGAAAATAAAACGATAAGAACGATTTTAGCTCACATAGAATCGATAGTTCAGCTCCTGCTCGAAGCCGTACGCCAGGTTGGTGACCGCGTTTTCGTGGTTGCCGCGTAGCAGGCCGTACTGAATAGGCGAAAGTTTACGCTACGTCGTACGTTACAACTACTTGTCTTGGCCACAAGATCTTGCAGACGAAGAGCAGCATGATCACCTCGATTTGACGGGGCCCCCGGTCGACATAATCGCCCAGGAAGAGGTAGCTGAAAAAGGTAAGTTTTTTAGTGAATTTTGAAGGTACTTCTGCATTAAAGGAACGAACAAAGCACAAAATCCATAGTATTCGGCCGGTTAAGCCTGCCTTCCTACTTTTCGCAAATAAAGCCATTCCAGTTCTCGCCGGCCGGGTTGTCGTCGGCATCGTCGCGCTTCTTCTTGCTCGATATGTCGCGGTTGTTGGTGGAGAACATCTCGAAGATGTGCAGCAAGTCGAGGTACTGAAAGTGCGGTTTGAATTTCGTCCCCAAAAATCTCTGCTAGCCTGCCCTCTCCTCAAAGTCAAACCTGGCCGTGGATGTCGCCGACGATGATCAGCGGCGGTCTCATTTCGATCAGCATCGGCTCGGTGATGAGGATATGTTTCGTCCCGCGCAGCACCTGCTCGATCTCGATGGAAAGGAACGGGACCTGAACGAGGACAGGATAGCAGAGATTGTTGAGGAAGAGGAGAGGGCAGGCTAGCAGAGATTGTTGAGGAAGAGGAGAGGGCAGGCTAGCAGAGATTGTTGAGGAAGAGGAGAGGGCAGGCTAGCAGAGATTGTTGAGGAAGAGGAGAGGGCAGGCTAGCAGGGATTGTTGAGGAAGAGGAGAGGGCAGGCTAGCAGAGATTGTTGAGGAAGAGGAGAGGGCAGGCTAGCAGAGATTGTTGAGGAAGAGGAGAGGGCAGGCCAGCAGAGATTCTTTGGGACCCACACGTCGCTTCGGCTCTGCGAACTTTGGCTGAACGAGTCGCAGCAGCAGCCGGCGGCTCAGCGCCCGGATCACCTCCATGTCGGGCGGCTTCGGCTTCGCCTTTTTTCCCGACATTAAGGCGGGATGACTGAAAATTAGCAGAATTTTAGAGCATACTTGGCCAGAAAATTTAGATCTAGCCGTTTTCGTTATTTTTGAGCAAAAAGCAAAGGTTTGACTGCGCCCGGAATCGAACCCCTGACCCCTGACTTGTCGGTCTGGCTTTACCGACCGAGCTAAAGAATGTAGCTTTCACCATAAATTAAAAATTCATTGAAAAAAACCTTTTTTGTTTCCGAGCCCCCGATCCAGAATCAGTCTGTTACCTTTAAAGGAGCTGAAGTTGACGATGCTGATGACGGTTAGGTCAAGTAAAACGAATGAAACGACAAGCGCGTTTTTGATTAGAAAAAGATAGAAAAACAGATTCCAAGGAATATTGGATGCTTTTATAATCAATTTCCTATTTAAATTTAGGCTAGTTCCGGTTTGATTTAAAGCTAATTTATTTAAATTTAGGAGAGAAATTCTTCAACAATCTCTGCTAGCCTGCCCTCCCCTCTTCCTCAACAATCTCTGCTAGCCTGCCCTCTCCTCTTCCTCAACAATCTCTGCTAGCCTGCCCTCTCCTCTTCCTCAACAATCTCTGCTAGCCTGCCCTCTCCTCTTCCTCAACAATCTCTGCTAGCCTGTCCTCTCCTCTTCCTCAAAAATCTCTGCAAGCCTGCCCTTTCCTTAAAAGTCTCTGCTCTCACAGCTCGTGCTCAAAAATTAAGTTTCAGAGTGTGTTTTTTGGCGATTTCCGTATTTTTGGCAAATTTCCAGGTGCATTTTCCAGCCGACCCCTATTGTGGTTTTAGTGTTGGTGATGGGGAGGTGGAGATTTTCGTCCATGGCACCGGGCCAGCTCAGCCAGGCGCCCTTATCTGTAATTCTCGAGAAGACCGGGGGGACGAGGCGGCGCCACCAAAAAAACTATCTCTCTCGCTCTCTCTCTCTCTCTCTCTCTCTCTCTCTCTCTCTCTCTCTCCCTCTTTACGTCCTCTGCTTTTCCAAAAAGTCTCATTTTGTGTCTTTTCTCTGCGCCTTACGATAGCCAACAGGTCCCTCTCTCTTTCTCTCTCTCTCTCTCTCGCTCTCTCTCGCGCTCTCTCTCTCTCTATCGTGTGACTTTCGTCGACATGTGCCCTTCCCAGCGGCCGGGCCGACCTTTTTCGTTTTTTTTTGGCATGGCACTTGGCAGACCCGGTGGAACCGTTTGACCGCCCCGGCGGAGAACACACAGTTCCGGGAGGCTCCAATGGCCGGTTGAATTTTCGCAAAAACTTGAATTTAAGGTCGAAAGCAGCAATTTCACAAACCCAGAATCTGAGCAAAAATCTCTAGGGTTTTACGCACCTAATGACGCATCATACGTACCTTGAAAATTCCTAAGACTTGTAAATTATGCAAATTATTGCTAACCTCGGGGATGTCGGCAGAAATTAAAATTTCTACAAAAAATTAAAATTAATGTGGCAAAGACTGCATATAGAAAATCTAAAACGCGCGTAGCCAGATCTAGGCCGTTATGTACCTAATGACGTTGGTGTTCATCCCCCCCCCGATAATGCGAATCAGCCTTTTTGAGGGTTGGCAAGCTAGCAGAGTTTCTTCAAGACCTTTCGATTTTTAGTCGGTCCCTCCGATAATTTCTGCAGACCTTTCCGGGGGTGGTTTCGAAAATGGAAGGGTCTTTTTTCTCAGTGCCCGTCCGTCCGTTCGGAGGAGCGTTCGTTTTCGCGATGGGGGGCAAGGGCACTTGAGAGAGTCCTTCCCTTCGTGTGTGGTCCTGGGCGCTTCGGGTTTCAGAATTACTGAGGCCAGGAGAGGCCACGCAAAAAATTGGTAGAGTGAAAGAGTGAGGCATAGAGAAAAAGAGAAAGAAAGAGAGAGAGAGAGAGAGAAAGAGAGAGAGAGAGAGAGAGAGAGAGAGAGAGAAAGAGATACAGGCAGAGACAGAGACAGAGACAGAGACAGAATACAGCTTTACGATCGTGCGGTGCCAGTCGGCCGTCTCGCGTTTTGTTGGAGCGTCTGTCGCCTGTCTCTCTGTCTCTCTCTCTCTCTCTCTCTCTCTCTGTTTCTCTCTCTCTCTCTCTCTCTGTCTTTTTGACGGGCGATTGTGTTCTGCTCTCACTCTGTGGTAGGTCTAGCCGGCTAGGAATTAGAGCGAAAGGACAGCAGGACTTTTATAAACAAGCTATTTCGGGTTGAAATTTAATGATTCGCTATATTTACTATACCAGAGGTGTAGAATTTCAATAATACCATAAAGAAGCTAACTGTTTAGCAAATGAAATGGATAGTAAATGGAATTTTTACTTCACAACAAAGCAGTCGTGAGACATATTAAAAAAGATTTCAGAATAGGAAGTATCTCAGCAATAATCTTATGGTATAACGGAAAGTCGAAAAGTCCTGGCCATATTTTTGAATTACAACAGCACAAGGAGGCAAAATAGACTAAAAATTAAGGTTGTGAATTAGAGCAATTTTCCAAATAATCTTATTCTACTCGGAATAAATGGAATAAGTGAATAGAGGATTTTAAAATTACTGGTTTCCAGTATGACAGAAATTGTAAAAACATTGTTGGTTTAAAATCCGTGTTTCATTAAAAAGTGATTATACGCATTTTTTTGAAGCGTTAATGGGAGAAGTAGCGATGATTTTAATGCTATTTTGCGCTCCTCGCAGACTTCCAGATTTCAGTTTTTCCAACTTCCAAACCAGTTTCCAAAATTCCACCTCAAAAAATGTGTTTTAATGGGTGGCTTACAGTAGCGAATTTATTCATGATCTAAATCAGCATTCTCCAAGTAAATTCTATTGTGAAAATATAAGGGAGCTTGTTTTTAAAACAACAATAAGTTTAGACTTCTGCAAACGCTATTAAAACAGCTAGTATGGCTTTACTAGGCATTTCTGGATTTGCACGAAAAATTAGGGACTCGCTTAATACCAAAGAATCACAAAATGCTTTTGAAAAATCTATGTTTGAGAAAAATCCCACCTTTTTAATACTATAATAAATTAATAAAATTTTAATAAAAGAAAAAAACCCGTTATTTTAATACTATTTATCCGCAACTCGACGCCCCCCCGATAATTCAAAAGCACCTCGCCTTTACAAAACCAAAAATTGCTTTTGAAAAATGTATGTATTAGAAAAATACTATGTGTTGCAAATTTTTGAAGATTTAGTGCTAGAAACGGTCGGGCTTTTAATATGATTTATCCGCAACTCTACCCCCCGATAATGCAAAAGCTCCTCCGTTTGGAAACGCAAAATTTCTTTCAAAATATATGTTTTATAAACATAAAATTTTGCGCAATATATTTAAAGCGTATTTCAATATATATCGGAGCGTTTTAATACTATTTCCGCAACTCAACCTCCCCCCCCGATAGGGCAAAAGCTCCTCCGTTTGGAAAAAGCAAAAATATTTAAAAATACAATGTTGTGCAATTTTTTTAAGGTGTACTTTGGGAAATTTGCATTATTTTAATACTATTTATCCGCAACTCGACGCCAACAAATATATAAAGAAAAGTCGTAGAAAAAAATACAAAAACAGAACACAGTATACGCGTTTTGCTTAATTAAAGGGGCGGTGAAGGCTGAGGAGGGCTGGGGGCGGGGCTACAGTAATCCAAAATAGCATAAAAAAATTAAAAAAGGGTATAAACGCGCGCTACCCGCGGGACCACGTGTATTTTGTGTGTGCGAAAAAAGGAGGAGTGTTTGGGGGAGGTGGCTCGAATCTAGTAGTGTGGCGTACTATCAGGGTGTTGTACTCGAATTTTTGAGGGGGTTACGGTAGGTTACGGCGGGTTACGGTAAAAACACTACCTGGTTCCTTTAAAGAAAAAGCCTATCAAAAATTCGGGCCAAAAAGCAAAAAGCGAAAAACTTTTGCACCGGCCGGGATTGAACCCGGGCCTTGCGGGCGAAAAGCTAGCGCTTTACCACTTGGCCACAGGATTTTTAGTTGGTTTTTATATTCTCCTACCGTAACCTAGCTTTACTCGATTTTTTTGTGGTTTTTTAAGGGAGGCAGCCTGATTTAATGTGAGAGAATTAGCCGAACCCGGGGGTACTGTAAGGGGGTACATGAAATTCTTGGATTTTGGATTTTTCCGAGTTTTAACCCTAGGATACGGCAGTCTGGCTGTCAGTTAGCAGAAAAATAACATGGAAATTGGGAAAATTACGACTACCGTATCCTCCCGTACCCTACAGTACCCCGGGGGTCTGCTGGGAGAGAATCACGTAATTTGTTGCTTTCGTACCGACAAGGAAAAACCCAAAAAAGGCCTGAAATGCGGGAGAGTGGAGAGACGGGAGAGAAACAGAGATTTTCGGATTTCAAAATTCAAAAATTCAAGTTTTCGGTATTCTGGGGTACGGTAGAAAACGGGAAATTGACACGCATCGCGAATGGACTAATTGTTAAGAGGTGTGAGGCGGAGATACCGTATGCTTATTTCTATGCATTGGCCGATTAAAGGGACCAGCAAGGCATGGGTAGCAAAAATCCACAGCCAAAAAATCGATAAGCTGCCTTGTCGGTCCCTTTAAATTTAAACCAAGCTATTTTCCAGTATTAGGGTGGCTGCTGGGCGGGTTCCTGAAGGGCTCGATACCGGTGTTAAAATAGAAATGGGTTTAGAAAAAGGGTGAAGCACAGGGTGGGCTTAGGCTTAGGCTTAGGCTTAGGCTTAGGCTTAGGCTTAGGCTTAGGCTTAGGCTTGGGCTTAACCTTAGTCCCTTTAAAGGGGCGCGGCCACACTAATTTTTTTGGGATTTTTTGCATGAGCAGGAGGGCGAATCTGGCTAGAAAGCGGAGGCGGAGGGTTGCACAGAGATTTTGCGGGGTTAAAAAGTTGAAAAACCAAAAAAAATGACAAAAAGGCGGGGAGACGAGAGGTTGGCTGCATTGAGGGTGACTAAATTTCCGGGGGGCTGCTCACAACGTCTATTGGTGCACAGTGTACAGGGAGAGAACACGAGGCCAGAATTGGTAGGCGAAAAAAAGATGTTTCGAGAAATTTTGGAAACGGCGGGCTAATTTCATTCCATCAAGAAAAATTGATTTTTAGGCCCAATTTTTGCAAAATATGTTTAAAAAAAAATCAAAATTCGCAAAATTTGAATTCGAGCTGTAGATACAATTTTTGTCAAAAAAATGTTTCGACAAAAATTGAAAAACGTGAGTTTTGAATCCAATTAATAGAAGGACCCAACGTTTTTTCCAAAAGGATGCTAAAAACTAAAAATCTCGGAAATTTGAAACAACTTTCGTAGCCATTGAAAATTCCGCAAAACCTAGAAAAGCGTGAGAGACGCTGCGAAAACTACAGACTACAAATTCCGGCCGTGGTGTCGAGACTACAAAGTATTTAGTGGGGGATCACCTGAGTGGGGGGCTTGGGGGGCTGGGTTTTGAGGATTTTCAGGTTTGGACCGGGCCGGCCCAGTCCAAAATTTGCATCCGGGTCAAGGGGAGGGGGCTACAACAACGCGTCAGCTTAGCTTAGACTTAGGCATGGGCTTGGCTTAAGCATGGGCTTAGGCTTAGGCTTAGCTTAGGCTTAGCTTAGGCTTAGCTCAGGCTTAGTCTTAAGGCTAACACACGCTAAAAACAGGCGCAAAACGGGGCGTGAAGAGGGAGGTAGCTGATTTTCGGGGGGCGTTTGGGGCGAATTTTCTTCGGGGGGTACCGGTGGGGCCCGGTTTTTCCGGGCGAGGAAGTAATATCGTGTAGTTTCTGCAGAAAAGGCGAAATTCCCTGACCACAAGACAAAGGCGAACAGCACGAGACAAAAAAAGAGGGTTTCAAAAAACGTATAAAAAATTGTCAAAAATTAAACAACAAAAACGCGGGGCTGGGCGGTGGAACTAGGCGGCTATTTTGGAGGGGGACTGACCTCCTTGCCACGAGCGGGCCTTTAAAGTCTTTGGCTTGATTTTAAGGGAGCAGCGAAGTGTCACAGTCCCTTTAAAATTATATTTTACGGAATCCACAGCTTTTAAAGGGCCATCGAAGGCAAACGGTAGGCGTGGCTCCCTGATTTGAATTCGGTGCCCTTTAAATTCAATTACAAGCAGCTTTTGATACTTTAAAGGGCCGTTGAAGGCAAAAATGGGCGTGGCTACAGAGGCGACATTCCTCAAACCTTCAGCGGTCCTTTAAAATCGATTTCCAATCAAAAACTGATACTTTAAAGGCCCCGTGAAGTGAAAAAGTAGGCGTGGCTACAGAATAAACATCTCCATACCTTCAACGGTGCTTGAAAATCGATTCCAAGCCAAAATTTAAAGGCCCGCTAAAGGCACGAGAGGGGGCGGGGATTGGACGCGAACCGTTGCGTAGTCTAGCGCAGCGTACATAGGACTACAGCGTACAGTTGTATGTACTACAGACTACAGCCACGAGGGCGGGGCATCACGACTTGAAAAGGGGGCGGGGCTTCACTTTGGTATTGTCGAGGCGAGGATCCGAGATTTTTTGGGGGCGTGGAATTTGCATAAAATCCCGAACAAAAAAGGATTCCTGTCGTGTTGGTGGGCGTTGAGCAATGTGGGCGGCTCGCGATGCCCCGGCGCTGCGTCCGGCGAGGAGAAGCTGTAAAAAATTTGAATAAAACGAATTTTATAACATTTTAAATTACACATTTTAATAGTGCTTTTACGTTATCGGGGGACCAACTTTTCTTTTGCTTTTTTGCCACATTTTGATAATAAAAATAGAGGTTTCCTAAGTTATATATTACTATTCTTAAACGCAAAACTTTTATACTCAAACTTTTATTGAAACATCTAAAAAATATAGGTTTTTCGACAAAACGTGACCAATTTTCGACAAAAATTTACAAATTTTCTAGGATTTTTTTGATCGTTTTACACTCAAATTTTGCAAATAATTTGAACCGAATAGCTAATTAAAAATATTTTGAATGTAATAAATTATACAAATGGTGCACTGCGGCCTCTGATTAATAAGAGGGGTCGGAGTTGGCTGAAACACGATTTTTCCCGTAGCTTTCAGGTTCCGCCGATTTTAAAAATGAATTCTAATAAATGTCACTTCCTCCCTGATTGGTCTTTGATAATGAATCAAAAATTTACGATAAACTTTGTTAAAATAAAGGAGCATGTTTCACGTAATCGCCAAGTTGCTTCGAATAACTTTGAAATAATCGACATCACACTCCTCGGTTCAATTGCTAGTTCACATGCAACAATTTCGTTTCAATTTGAACTTCAAAAATTAAACTCTGAAAAATTCTCTATGGATGATATTAACATCAGGATATTGAAACCCACCTAATTACGGTAGAATCGACGATGCTTGTTGAATTAGATGTTCATCTCGACCGGGCGAAACGTGCAGTCATTCTGCGGGCCCTGCCCCTGCCCTTTTCGCGTGTAGAAGACGCCGTCCTGTAAGGGTATCATTATTTTTTCTAGTTCATTTTCGCCCGAAGATTCAGCTATCTGTTCTATCTGCTGGATTAAGGCCTCCAAAAACTCGTGATTTTTGGAAATTTTAGAAACATTTTTTATGGCAAACGCGTGAACGCGTCTATTTTTCCTATTTTTGAGATTTTGAAATGAAATTTTTGGTTGATTTTTTTATTTTTGATGATTGAAGCGTAAAAATATGAAATTTGAAGTTACATCCTGTCTACCGTACCAGGGCGACGTCGTCGTGCTCGCGCAGCGAGAACGGGTCCGTCTGCAGCCGGTGCTCCAGCATTTTGTCGAGGTCGAGCGTCGGGCGGCCGTAGCCATTCGTGCGCCCGCGCTTGGCCAGGGAGTGGCTTGGCGGCGAGCCAATGTCCAGGTCGTCGACGAGCTGAAAAAAATTGGTATGTGACAAAATAGTAGGCGAAAATTTGAAAATAAGGAATGCGATTTATAGGAAACTTTTCTAATAGATGATTTTTTGAAAGCGTAAAAAATACCGCATTAAAAAAATTTAAACTTAAAATGTAAGTTTTCATTAAATTAAAACCGGAATTTGTAGCCCTGAATAAATATAAAGCAAAGAAAAAAAAATTGGAGTACAATAATTGCTGTGTAAAAACTGACGAAGGCATACAGCTTTCACGAAACCTCTTTTTTACAAAAGTTTGTTATTTTTTTGTAAACCCGATTGAGGTACTGTATTATTTCATTAATTATTGGCGCTTTTTGCAATTGAAATAGACTTATTTAGGTCTAAATTAAGGAAAATTCGCTTACCAATTTCTTGCCCTCAATCGGCATCGGGCTTGTGCTGCGCAGGGGCGGGGTGGTGTTCTGAAAAAATGTTTTAGGTTGGCTATTGGCTCCTATTATTCCGATTTTTGGCATTCTTCGGTCCTATTCATTCAATAACATTTACATTTTCGTTACATTTAATCAATTTATTTTTAAAAACAAAAATTCAAAGATTTTTGTTTTTGGCAAAATACGGCGTTGTGAAAAAATGTTTTGCGTTAACTATTGGCCGTGCATTTATATTAAATTATTGTCATACTAAAATTATTTAAATTGCAGCTGTATTTTAACTACCTGTGATTTTGTAAACTTTTAGAAAAACAAAGAATCTATATATTTTGCGGTAAAATGTTTTAACAACTGCTGGCATTGCGTGAAAAATTTTCTGTTTTGGTTCGTTCAACGTGATGCTGGGCCTATGTGATTAAAACTTTTTCCGAGCATTGAAGCCCATGCATTATATTAATAAAAATAATTAAGTCTAAAATTATAAGAATTAACTATCTAAATAATTACCTCCTCAAGTTGTCGGTTGACGAGCACACGAATCGGGGTACGCCGGGCGGCCACGATGATGTCGCGTGGGCCGTCTGGAAAGATATTTGGATTGGAAAAATTGTGTTCCAAAAATCTCTAGTAAGTAGACGTCGCAATGTTGTTTAATGGGCAATGCTTCAATATAGCAAAAATAAATATATAAATATAATATCAATCAATTCAAAGAGAAAAAATGTATCAAAAATGTGCAATGACCGATTTTCCTAAACCTATATAATTTCTGTTTGCATGTTTCTCTCCGCCAATCGACAAAAATCCATGTTTCAATCAACCACCGCAATGCTTTTTTAAAAAATACCATAATCACGGTATTCACCACTTCTTTAATTGCTTTAATCTTTGCTTTATATTTTTATTTTGGATTTTCTATTAAATTTATTTAATTAATTCAGCCCCCTGGTTTTAAATTCGGGCCCTCCCACTTGGCGGAGACGACTTCGCCGCCGGACCCCCAGCGCTGTAGGTATCAAATTTCCATTTGAGTGCTGTGTGGGCTGCGCGGGCGAGAGAGAGAATGAGAGAGAGAGAGTGAGATAGAGAGAAAGCGAGAGAGTGAGAGAGAGTGAGAGGGTTAGCGAGACCTCCGCTTTCCGACATTTCTTCAGTGCGCGCGAGAAGAAGTGAGAGAAAATCTATGTATCAGGTACATGGTTACTTTTGACGTTAAAGCAACCCTATTCAACGAATGCGGGTTTCCTCTCTCACATCAAAACCGAAGTTTCAAGGAAATTTGGGAATTTTGTTTATAGAATGAAGCCATAAAAAGGGCGAATACTTGGTTGCAATTTGATGTTTTATAAAATAATAAAAATAAAAAGCGACGCTTTTCCGCGTTGTTCCACCGCTCTGTATACATAAATTCTAAAATTTGATGTACTTCCATTCCTATTTTTTAAATTACATTATCAAATTATTCGTTACTTAACACAAAAATACACTAATTGAAAAATACTACTGATATAATCGTTTAGTTTAGCCGAGTAAAATAAGAGAAAAGTTTGTAAGCACTTGATGTTTCACAACATTTTAAAGAAAATGGCCAACTTCGTTTGGCTATTTAAATACACCTAATAAAATGGTTTATTTAGCGGAATTTCGTTTTAAAACTCCTAGGTAGTAATTTATGTTTCATAAAACATTAAATGAAAACTAACCGGTTCCGCGTAGCTTTGCGGCCGAGGTCAGCTGCTCGTTGTTGACGGGGGGACGTCTGCGTGGTGGAGTGGCGTCGCTTCTCGCCCGCGTTGTGCATCGACATTGGCGGGAATTCGAAGGCGCCCTGGAAATATTGGAGCATTAGAAGCTTTTAAAGGTATTGGTAAGGCAAAAATGACTCAAACGAACGCATCTAGTCGGAAAGCAAAAATTTTTCCTGCGCCGGGATTGAACTCGGACCTTTGGAGCGGAAAGCTAGAGTGTTACCTGCATTTTTAATTATAAAAAAACCCTTGCAATTTTAGTTATCTGACTCCCAAATTTCAGCTAACATTTTTTCTACAGATAGTCTGCTAGGATTGACTACTTATATATTTCCCGCCCTATACAATTTTGTGAAACATTTTTTGTAGAACCTGATTTTACGCGAGTGCTTTTCGATTGCAGAAAATCGATTTTGAGACCAATGACATTTAACAGATTCAGATTTTTAAAGGTACCTGTAACCAAACTAGTTACCCTGGCCAAAATTTAAACATTTCACTGCAAAGCGCTGATCTATCGCGTAGTCTAAAAATTATATTTTTCAGAGAATAGATGATACAATACCGAAAAATAAATTTCGCGGCCTAAGCAAATTGATGAAACATATTCTTTTTTTACTTATACAATTTTTTCCTCAGGCAGTGGAATTCGAAATCGTTATTAGAGGTTTTACTACTCAAAAGTTTTATAAACTCGATAAATTGCGAAATTAGCTTGCGATCGATTGGATGAGCTCTAGCCAGGGAGAAAATAGCTCCGGTTCAATCCCCCCATAAACAAAACTTTTCGAATTTTGCTTTTAAATTTTTGTTTTGCGAATGATTTTTAAAACTGACTTTAGCATAGGTAGTCCGCTGAAAGGCGCCGCGACGCGCGTCCGACGCGCAGAGCGGCGGTGTCGGGATGTCGGTGGACTCGCGGGAGCAGTCGGCCGACTCGAACCCGGTGGTGATCCCCGACTCGCCGCCCGTGCTGTCCCAGCTGAAAAATGTATGATTAAAATCGTAACTCAAGCATTGAAATTGGAAAGGAAAATGCCATTAAAATAACTATTTACGATAAGCACGGCGATTTTTAAAAATACAAAGTTCAAAGAGATGATAGAGTCATTCGCTTACAAAAATATTTAACAATTTTAGTTCTAAACGAAACATCCATTTTCGCAATTTTTGAACACGGCGTTTTTTATTTTCGAAACCTAAGATCTTTGTTTGTGAAAAATAAAAGGTATGTTATAGGCAGTAGTAATTTATGCGGAAGTTTAATCTGGTTGGGTTGCAATGCTGGAGTCTAAGCTTCTCGGACTTGTATAACAAAACCTTTCAGGGTTTTATTGCTTTCTGAAACACTCATTTTTGCAGGCGCCAATTTTGCTAGCCATGAGCATATAACTGTAGCGTCCTGTAGAAACTCAAAAGTACTCCGAAAAGTACTAGATTTTATAGGGTATCAGGTTTTTTTAAATGAAACGTAGTAGGAGCTTGCAAATATTGCCAAATTTTTGATCAAATCAATAATTCAATCAAAATTTTTGAGAATTTTTTGGGCAGTCGAAACATCCATTTTCCCTACTTTTTTGGCTAACCGAATTTTCATTTTCAGGGTTTTAGACGGGTCGTATTTTCCAATAAATAAAAGTTATTTTATAAATGCTCAAAACTCGACCAAACGGTAATTGTTCCACGGTAAAGCTTCTGTCCCAATTAGTTACGCTAAAATTTGCAGAGTTTGGTTTCTCCATGAAACTCGTATTTTCTCACGGTCCCCCAATTTTTTTCCATGCGGATAGATGATGATGATGGGGAGAAGGGGGGCTGTCGATGGGTATAGGTATGTGTCGGGGTTGTCTTGGCACGAGAGAGCACGAGAAAGGAGGGGGAGCAGAGAAAATCGGGTAGAGTGCAGAGAGGGCAGAGTGTCCCCTCTCGGCCGGCCGATATCCTACGCTGCGTCCCTGCCGCCCCCTCCCTAGCTCAAATTATAACTTTTAGGGGGCGCTCCTATAAACGAGAAACGCCAAATCGAATCGATAAATTCGTACTTAAGATGCCTAACAACGTCGTTTAAAAATATAAGTTTCAAATTTTAGACACAAATAGCAGAGAAACCATTTTACTAATCGTACCAAATAATAATTTTGTGTCTTCTATATGGAAAATTTTTTTCTCATTCTTCCTACGATTATTAAAAGACAAAGGGCTTTTTTGGAAATTTGCATTTTATTATATTCATAATTTTCACACTACCATGATTTATCAAATAAATTCATAGAAGGTGTATTAATATGGAAATAGATTCGTATTTGTAATTATTATTGACAGATAGATAAAATCCTGCATATTTTGAAAAATTCTTTAAACACTGCATCTCTACCCCTCAAATTATGACTTTTCCGTGGGGCTCCTCAGCCCGAAAATGTGCCTTTTCTGGCCGGGCGGGGGGGGCAAAGTCCCAAGGGACCCCCTAGGGGGCAGACCGGAAATTGGAATCTCGCAACTTTTGCGCCCCGCCGAGCCCCCCTCCCCGACTAATGGGCCCCTCATCGCAATTTTCGCCGCCTTTTGGATACGGTAGGGCAAGATATAATTTTATTGATTGATTTTATTAAAGTTAACTATACTTTTTGCATTATAAAAAATGTAAAGTTTCGAAATTTAACGATAAGTAATATTTTTAAGCAGGTAATTTTGCAACCGAAACTGATGATTTTGGTAGGTGATCGCATAAAATATCCTACCTTATATAATTTTGGAGTGTATCTTTGTGTGTGTGTGTGGATGTCAGTTTCGAGGCCCGATTTGAAGGCGTTCCCGTACACAAAATGTCCTAATTCTCCGTCACCCGGGGGAATCGACCCTTCTGTTTTCGATGGAGTTCTCAGAATTTCGATAAAATACAAGTTTACAAAGTTAAAGCCGATTTTATTCATTTTTGGGGGTTCCTAAAGGCTAATTGCATAATGTGAAAAATACAAATTTCCTCATCCTTGCGAGTTGCACGCGCGCGTGTGGTGGGGCGGGGAGGGTCCGAAGGACCCGAGCTACCGGAAAGTCAAATTTCTCATACAAACGCACTATTCCAGCGCCCAAGGCCCGCGAAGCGGGTTTTGGGCGCTGGTGTCTGAAATAATTTGTTTCGATCAGAAAAGCGCTCCGATTGCTAAACGCTTAATGTTTCAAAAATGACCGCTATCGGTTCAAAAAATCAGTTCAATATTGAAACTGTCGGGTCCCGCAAAATGTGTGCAAAATAGTAATGTTAAACTCGGTGCCCCAATCTTTTTGAAGTTTACAATTATGTGTTGTAACAAACTCCCAAAAACCGTCGGGGAAAGGGCAGATTTAATAGCTCCTCCTTCTGCTTATTTAATTCTCCATTTAAAAAAATTAGTTATATTTCTGTGTTAGAGGATTCTCCATTCCGAGTTAAAAACGTGATCAGCGATCCCTGTGCCGTTCCGAGAAACTCAAAATGGGTGCAAGAATCGCCGGCCCCAGCACGGTAGTGGCCATTTTCTAGAGAGGCGAGAGAACAAAAGGAAGCGAGAGAGAGAGAGAGAGAGAGAGAGAGGAGGAGGGAGAAAGGAGGGGGGGGGAAGAGAAATGGCCTAGCAAAGGGAGGGGGGTGTTGAATGGCAGGCCAGAAACGCGAAAAAAGAAAGCCAAGCAGAAACTGGTCCCGGCGCGCCCGGGCGCCGGAAAAAATGGGCGCTCTGTTGCGGGCCGAAAAAGGGCGGCAGAAGGGGTACGGTAGGTGGGGTGAAAGACAAATGGACCGCGAGCTGACCACCGAAAAATGAAAGGAAAGCGAAACGCGCCGATTTTTATGGGCCTTGAGATGTGAGAAATTGGCGCTGGGCCAGGTGCATTTAGACTATAACAATTGGAAATTGAAATAAATTAGCGATTTTTGAGAATCTGGCGTTGCGATAAGTTTGACCCTTTAAAAATCGATAGCATATTTCTAAAAAATTAATACGTCAGCAATGAATCTTTTACGAACCGATAAATAACAAATGTAAAAAATAGATGATGTTGTAAAAAATAATGTTTGAAGGCAATTATATGGCTAGAAATTAGGGATACTCTCAATTTCAATAACTTTCCGAGTGATAAAACCTTCTAAATAGCGGTAGTTATGTCTTTAAATTAAGATTCCAAAACATTTCTTCAAAAAATCGTTTAAGACACTAACGAACCTCTCCGAGTCGTGGTCGTACATCGAGTTCAGGAAGGCCGACGTCGGCGGCGAGCGGCTGTTCAGAAAATCACCGTAGTTCTTCGAGGACTCGTCGCAGACTGAAAAGAATTTTTTAGAAAATTCTATAATTTTTTTGCTTTTTTTATTATATTAACTTTGGCATTTAGTTATTAACGCACATAAAAAAAATTTTAAAAATTTTGAATGGCCAAAATAAATTTTTTTTTAAAAAATTATTTTTACATCGCTATGGACAATTATAATCCTTTGCCTCCTTCGACAGTGCAGCTTTTTTGAAACATTAGTTTTTAGACTCGAAGAACCCGAATTTTGCAAGGCCTCTGTAATTCTCCGTCGTTTCAATAACGCTTCCCAAACAATTCGGTATTCGAAATTTTTTGAACCCGCCTTTTATAAATAGAAAAACGAAAAATTTAAGCTCATAATTACCGTACCCTTCTCCTTCTCGAGACGCTCCAGCTCCTCGTCGTCGGATTCGGTGCCCGAGTCGTGGAGCATCGACTGCAACAAGTGTACATTTAATGTACATTTTCTACACAATAAGTATATATTTTGAACCCGAATTTGTCTATTTATTTTTATAGTTTAGAGTTTATAGTTTATAGACCTGCAGTTTTTATAGCTGTTTCGTGTATTAATTAGCAGATTAAACTTTCGGAAAAATAGGTATGGAGTTGAAACACTTTTCCACAAAAATAGCAATTTTTTAATGATTTTTTTGAATACTACAGGCAATCAAAATACAAAGATAGTGATTTGTGTGAATGTAAAACGGTTAGTAACTATTGTTCCAAAAAAAGGAAAGATTTTTATATTCGAAGCTTTAACAAGTTTTAAGGTTAACTGTAAAACCCGTGAGTAATTCGTGTTCTTACTGTATTCCCAAAAAAAAAATTAAAATTTTGGTAACTTTGAATAATAATAATAATAATAATAAAGTGCTTTAATCCTTTAGTCTCGACATTTTTCCATTACATTTTTCCATACATTCCATTTTCCAATTAAAGCTCATGCTTCTGTTATATCAATCGGGCAAAAAAATATGTTTCAAAGAATTGCCAATCGACGGTGGCATTTCCAGAAATAATTCAGTATTGATATCAGCTGGTGATATTTAGCTCAGCTTTTTAGCATTGCTTAAACTAAGCTTTCAATTATAATTGAATTTTACATTTTCTAAGCCGGGTGCCCCCTCGCTACCGTACCTTTGCCGAGAGGCGGGCGCTCTTGCGGAGCGGCTGCTTGGCCGTCTCGTGGCCGCTGCTGTCGGTGGTTGGGTCGGCGGGCGGCTGTTCGTCATCCTGGTTCTAAAATCGAATCAATGGATTAAGGAAATTTTTAATCAGTTAATTTAATTGTAAATTGTAAATTTTAGCTATCGATAATTCGACTACTTGACTCTTGCGATCATTTAATTTGTTGAGTTTTAGACATGCGAGCGTTTGTAATTGCAAAATTACAGAAACCTTTGATCATTTATTATTTGAAACATTCTAATTTTTAAAAAAATCTACTTTCTTTTAGGTAATCATATATCTGCTTCAAAAAATAATATTTCCATTACCCACCTTCACGTTGATGTTCCGCAACTTGGTGACGAGCTTGAGCATTGTGCGAGATTTCTGCAAAAAAATGATGTTTCAACTTTCGAAAATTCCAATTTGAAAATTTTTTCGGGAATGGTGTGCTTGCTCTATTGCATTAATATTTCCAGGTTTTTTACCTAATACCTCCGCGCTGGCGCTTCCCCTTTAACACCGGGTATGGTAAAACGGGTCAGGGATACTGGTTACTGTATCCACCATTTCGACAGGTCAAAATCCCGACTGCCAAAATCCGACATAATCTCGTCGTTGGTTTGAATGATATTTCCTTTGAATTGGCCATTTTGCATCTCGAGATGATGGCTGTCGGGATTTTCGTTGTCGGGTGGTTTGGCTAGTAGGAATTCCGTGTGAATTCAAATGTTTCAAAAATTTTTCAAAAGCTCGAAAATTTTCGGGAAGTAATGGTGATCTGCTCTAACACCAAAATTAAATTTTTCTCAACGCAAAGTAGGAAACTATTTTTGTATAATTTTCAATCTGTACTTAATTTTTTCTTCGAAACTCTGATTTTTACATTCTAACAATTTTGAAACATTTTATTTCTCTCTTAGCTCAGCGCTGGCTTTTAATTAGGTAACCAACGAAACAAGCTTTTTATAGCTCGAGCGATAAAATTAAACTTGCTTTGCTGTCTCCATGCCTTAGACCCTGATATACAGTACCTGTTAATGTGTGTTGTGGTAGGCGTGTGTAGCTGGCGGACGAGCAGAGATTATGATGCCCGTCGCGTGGGATACCCGTAATGCAGCGAGGAGGAGGAGGGGAAGAATACGGCAAAAGGCAGTCGTCGATCCGTCAGTCGTGTTCACGTTGCCGATCTGGAATTAAAGGATTTAGACTTCAACGCTTCTTTAAAAGGCGTTAAAAGAATTGTCGTGATTTCATCAGTTTTTTATTATATTTTAGGACGAGCACCTCGAGGGTCGATTAGGCTTCGAAAAAATTCAGGTGTTTTGAAATTTTTTGAAACATCGTATGGCTAATTTTTTGTAGTTTATAGTTTCGATGATTTCGATGCATAAATTAAATTCTTCAATCAGGATTTCGGCGAACTTTTCAAGTATTTGCAACATTATTTTTGTAAAGGCGGAATGTTTTGCATTGTCTTTAATGCTTCATGCAATCGCTACAATCCACCGGCGTGCTATTGGTTTTCCATTTTACTAAATTTATCGAAACAATTTTTTTTGTAAAATTTCGATATACCCTGAATTCTATTACCGTTAACTTTATGATAGAGGATTTTTCTTATACATTCTCACATCCTTCTGGATTTAAGCACATTTAAATCAACAAAATTTTACAGAAAAATGCCGACAGAGTTGATCGGTAAATCGTGACTTGCCTGGGCTTGATTTCGCGTATTTCGTCTTAAAAACGGTGTTTCATCAATTTTCAAAAACAGGATTTTGGGGGGGTCTGACATATCTATGATAGAGCTTATCTAGTCGTTTATATTTTTATTTTTTGATTACAGTTCGTTCCGGATGCTGAATTGAGATGACAGCGATTTTGCCCTTTTTAAATTAACCCGAAACATTTTTTTTGGAAAAATTTGGATACATATTTGTAATATCCTGATTTTATTCTCAGATATATTAATCTATCTGCTTTTTATTTCTTGGTTTTGCAACTCCCTAAAGTAGATGATGCGCAGTGTGTGTGCGTGAGTGCATGTCTGGTTGGGGTAGTGGGGTGTGGTGGTGGTGGTGTGGGCTGAGTTGTGTGTCTGTCCGTCTGTCTGTCTGTGTGAGGCAGGTTGCGGAGAGCGAAGGAGAGGGTGAGGCAGGGGCTGGCTGTTGGCGGCGAGCCAACAATTTTTGAGACAAATATCGATTGCGAGGGGCAGCCCAAAGTGAAAAAGTCGGCCTAAGAAAATTGGGATGCTAAAAAATATATGTTCCAAACATTTTTAAAAATCACGAAATTCTGTTGAGCACAATATAGAGATGATAAAAAATTTAGTGAAAGAAATTTTTAAATAAAGCCATTAATAAAAGCATATTGCTGTCGAATTAATATTTTTAAAACCTCAACAAGATCGTGAAAATTAGGATGTTTCGTTGACCGGTATAGAGCAATACCCTTGAAACACCTATATCCGTAGCCAAAAATTGTTTAGCCAATTTATTGATCGCTGTTCGATTGGCTCCGGACTACGGTAGCTCTATTTTCTATTTAATTTTTTGAAGGAAGTACCCTTAGATTCTTAAATATAAGCAAACCCCTACAAGAAAACTTATCGTTAGAATTAATAAGCGCTCTATTAAAACTAAAATCAATACATATTTTGGATCGATCGATGAAAAATAAATTAAATCAATCCATATCAGTCACATCTTATTTGCTAGTTTATTTCGCGCATAGCTAAGATTTCCTGAAACTTAAAATTTCCACAATGTTCAAAAATTATGAAAATTCCGATAAAAACAATCGATAAATGGGAAATTATGAATTTTCAAGGTAAACTGTCGAGCAGTAAGTAATCGGCCCACGATAAGCTTTTAAAAAATTGCTGAAACACCGTTTTTCCAGGGCAATACACGAAAATCGATCCCAGACAAAAGTCGATGGATGTATCGATCGATTCTGTCGAAATTTTCCTTTGATTTTTGCTGATTACAATCTGGCTAAATTAGGTATTCTGCGACAACACCTAAAAACAAGTTTCTTGCCAAAAAATCCCCTGAAAACCCTGAAAAATACAAAATACGGCCAATCGATTTATCGATCGATATTCTTGGAAAACTCGCGTTCTGATAATTGGAATATACTAAAAATAGACGCCTAAATACTACGAACTCTCCTAAAGCTAATTTTCACCAAAATTCCCCGAAAATCCAAGCCGGGACGCGGACACGCGCCGCGCCCCGGAAATCGATTTATCGATCGATTTTTGAGGGTAAAAATCGCGGATTAAATGGCGTAGTAGTTAAAATACCAGGATTTAAGCCCAAAAATTACCTAGATACCTCAAAGCAACGAATAAATCGGATGATATCTGCTAAAAACTCGCCAAAAACACTGACCAATTTCCGGGGGCTGAGCGGCGGGGGCGGGGCTGATTTCCTGAATTTTTGGTTGTTTTTGGGGTGGCCGGGGCGCTAGTGCTGGTGGAGAGGCATTCACCTGGAAATTCGGGTCTATTAATGTGCCTGAAGGCGTTGGAACGTGCAGAAATCGAGAAAACGCGAAAAAAACACGCAAGTCGAATTAAGGCGGTAAAAGTTTTTTTGGTAATATGATATGATGAAACATGATTTTTTTTGAATCTGATAATACGGAGTTTATCTTTCTTGCAGATATATTGATTTTTAGAGGCTTGGAAAGCGAGGAAATGACAAATGAGAAACACGCTCTGAAGCTAGCAATACGCTTCCTAAAAAATTTTGGATAATAGAGTATGACAAAACATGTTTTTTCTACCCAGGAGCGCCAGAAAATCCATTTTTCCGGCCATTTATAGGTTTTTAAGGGGGTTTTAAAGTATTCCCAACATAGATTACAAGCCCAATAAAGCGGTTATATCACCAGATACCTAACACAAAAGATAAAACACATAAAATTTAGCGCCCCCGAAATAATATTTCAACTTTCCCCGGGCTAACTACTCGCTGGGCAGCAGCAGCGGCGCGGCGGCCGCCGGACTGGCGATGGAAAAGGGAGAGCCCCCTCCTCGGCTCTCTCGGCGGAGAGAGGGCAGAGAGAGAGAGAGAGAGAGAGAGAGAGAGAGAGCGAGAGAGAGAGAGGGGAGGGCTGAAATTTGAGGCGGAGAGGGGAGAGAGGGCGAAAGAGCGGGCGTTAGCGGAGAGACGAGAGAAAACTGGCCGGAAAGTGGTCGTTCTGGAGGTCCCGGAGAAGAGAGGGGGATACCTATAAAACGATAGAAAAGAGAGACTGGGAGAGTTAGAGATAAAACGAGGGCGAGAGTAGCTGGGAGAGACGGGAGAGGATGTGAGAGAGTGGGAGAAAGAGGGAGGGGAGAGAGAAAAGGGTGGTTAGTAGGGTAGGAAACGGAGCTCTCTTAAAACGAGAGAATTTGCGAAACGAGAGACAGTAGTGCGTTAGAGAAGCGAGGGAACTGGGGGAGAGACGAGAGAGGAAGTCAGAGAACCAGAAAAGTGAGAGAAACCACAGAAATTCAAGCCCAAAATGAGAGGGAGGCGGTAGAGAAAGAAGGAAAGGAGAGGCCAGAGACAAAAGGCAAATTTTCTACTCTACGTCAAGATTTTTCGATATTTTTGGGAGTCTTTCGGGGTTTTTTCGACACCATCGGATAGAGCATTGAAAAATCTACTAACAGCTCTAATTTCGGCGCAAAAAATTCAAACCAGAATTGTTATCACATTAAACAAAAACATTTTTTTGGAAAATTGGGTTTTAAAAGCCATTTTCGAAATTTTGGCGTTTTTTTAAATTTGCAGCCTTTCGCATCACCCTCCGGTGAAGAACCGGTCGATTTTGTCTTATTAAAAAAGGGCTTAATTATCAATCGCCAAATGTTTCCAAACTATTTTCTGGCTATTCCTAAATAAAAATATAAAAATTAATATTGCAAAACTATAAAAAAACCATTTATGGCCGCAAAAATGGCCCGTTTTTTGACAGTTTCGAGATTTTGAAAAATGGTTCGGGTTTTTAGATAGCTTCTAGTTTAAAAAACAGTTTTTGTTCATGACATATGTTATAAAAATAATTTCTAAGAAGTTAGTAGGTGTTTCTAGACCTAGGCAAAATTCATTTATTTCCCGGATAACGCGATTTAACCTATTTTTGCTATAACTCAAAATCTACTAAAGCTAAAGGGCTGTAATTCGGGGATGTTGTATTTTAGGGTCAGCTACACCCCTGGTCCAAATTTGGGCCCAATCGGATGAAAGGCGGCTAAAGGGGAGGAGGTGAATTTTGGGACCCCGGGTAATGTCTTGCCGGGGGAGAGAACCGTGGGAGAGACGAGAGAGAGGGCGAGAGAGGGAGAGGGCGAGAGGGCACAGAGACAAGCG